TCAAAGAAAGCTATCAGGTTGGTTTGACATGATTTGTTCTTGACAAATCCGTGCTGACTGTTACTTATCACCTCATTATCTTCTAGGTGTTTGCAAATTGATTTCTTAATTATTTGCTCCATTATCTTTCCGGGTACAGAAGTTAAGCTGTCTGGTCTGTAATTCCCCGGGTTGTCCTTATTTCCCTTTTTATAAATGGGCACTATATTTGCCCTTTTCCAGTCTTCTGGAATGTCTCCCGTCTTCCATGACTTTTCAAAGATAATTAGTAATGGCTCAGATATCTCATCAGTCAGCTCCTTGAGTATTCTAGGATGCATTTCATCAGGCCTTGGTGATTTGAAGACATCAAACTTGTCTAAGTAATTTTTAACTTGTTCTTTCCCTATTTCAGACTCTGATCCTACCTCATTTTCACTGTCATTCACTATGTTAGACGTCCAATTGCCACCAACCTTCTTGGTGAAAACCGAAACAAGAAGTCATTAAGCACCTCTGCCATTTCTACATTTTCTATTATTGTTCCCCCACCCATTGAGTAATGGGCCTACTCTGTCCTTGGTCTTCCTCTTGCTTCAAATGTATTTGTAGAATGTTTTCTTGTTACCTTTTATGTCCCTAGCTAGTTTGATCTCATTTTGTGCCTTGGCTTTTCTAATTTTGTCCCTGCATACTTGTGTTATTTGTTTATATTCATCCTTTGTAATTTGACCTAGTTTCCACTTTTTGTAGGACTCTTTTTTGTGTATTAGATCATTGAAGATCTCCTGGAAGAAGATCTTCCTGAAAGAAGTTTGTGGGGCACTGGGAAATCAAATGACTAGCAGGGATTGTCCCAGTAAAACTGGGACGATCTTTCTTATGTTTATACAATTAGCTTCTTTATATTATGAAGTCATTGTATTTTTAATGTGCTTGTTTTGGTCAATGAAAATGCTTTTTCAGTTTAAAAAAAAATAAAAATAGGTGAGTTAATATCACCTGAAGTTTCCCATTGTTTGAATGGGAAATGAGTATCAGAATGTCTAAATCAGAAGGTGACTGTAGACTAAGTGTTAGAATTATTATGCAATCAGAATTATTATGCAATCAGCTCACGATGACAAGAATAATATACAGTAGAACCTCAGAGTTACAAACACCAGAATTACAAACTGACCATTTGACCGCACAGCCTTCATTTGGAACTGGAAGTACACAATCAGGCAGCAGCAGAGACAAAAAAAAAGCGGCAAATAAAGTACAGTACTGTGTTAAATGTAAACTACTAAAAAATAAAGGGAAAGCAGCATTTTCTTCTTTATAGTAAAATTTCAAAGCTATATTAAATCAATGTTCAGTTGCAAACTTTTGAAAGAACAACCATAACATTTGTTCAGCGTTACGAACATTTCAGAGTTATGAACAACCTCCATTCCTGAGGTGTTTGTAACTCTGAGGTTCTATTGTATTGAGATGAACAGGAAGGGATCTACTTCCAAGGGATTTTACTTTCTCACCCCTTCTATTCACTATGTAGATTGACAAATTTTGGTCTGCAGTTTTCTTCATATACTGATAATAGCCTGCTCTGTCTCTGTAATTGAACCTTCTTTCTATAGACTTTCCCAGTATCTCTCTCTGATATTCATTAGGTTAGGGATATTTCCAATCCCAGTCAGCAATGTTAGGGGCTGTAGAGTAGACAACTTGCCACATTCCTTCACCCCTTAAAACTCCATATTGATTAGTTCTGGTATGACAAAAGTTTATATTAATAATATAATCTGTCAACTATAATCTGACTTGATAATAAATGTACAGTATTGTTTTACACAATGATAACATGTGCACAAGCTGTTTTATGACTATCTGTTCAGTGTGTCAGTCAGAATTCTCTGGGTCATTTATGAAACAGGGGAAATCCTGCAGCTGTTTTTGTAGTGAAATGCATGGCTGCCTGCAATGAAATTCATTGTGCAGAAGTTTGAGGAGCTTGATTTGGAAAGTCCTTGACGAGGTCTTTCACCCTGTACAGATTGCGGAAGATGGGAAAAGGGTAGGTCAGGGGAGGAGCTGGAGCTGGGTTTGTGGATCTGAAATTATGTATATTCACTGGTCATCACTCCTTATCAAGCATGGGCACAGCAGTAGCAAAAGCTCCTGCATCCACAGGGTTGCAGTAGCAGCAATGTAGTGGTACTAGGGGAGGACATCCCCTTTCCCGTGAAAGTCTGTGCATGCAAGTCTGGCTACACAATTTGTGTGAGGAGAGAGGGGGCAGATTTTGCCCATGGTGAGGACCAATATTTGAGCTAAAACTGTATAATAATTACAAAAAGAATTGCAATGTTGTCACAGAATCAATGTCTCCTACTTTGAAAGCAATTATTTTGTCTTCTCTCAACACTGGCATTTATATAGCAGCAGTAGGGCTTTACAATGTGAAACTGACCGAAGAACTTTATTCTTATGTGTATGTAGAATGTTCTTTATCCACAGTACTCTCTTTTCTTTTTAATAAATCTTAGATTAGTTAATAAGAATTGGCTGTACGTGTGTGTTTGGGTAAAATCTGAAATATTCATTGACCAGGTGGGTAATGCGTCCGATCCTTTGGGATTGGTAGAACTTTATATATGGTGAATAAGGTTTTAGTAATCATCATCATATTTGATTTGGCTGTCTGGGTGGGAGCCCAAGGCTGGATTAGTAAGGGAGACTATTTTGGGGCTTCTTGGTAACCAGTAAGGAATTATAGATGCTGTTTTGTTGCTGGCTTGGTGAATCTAATTATTAGAACAGACCACCAGTGTTGGGGATCATCTGACCCATTCTTTGCAGTTCGCCCTGATTGAGCAATCTCAGCATGGCCCCTCTCCAGCAATCACGGTCACAGGCTAACTGGACTTTCTGGCCTGCCTTAACCCTTTCTGGGCAAGTGTGAGGAGGACACCCCATCAGACACCTTTAGGGCTTATCTGAACTAAACCAAATTCCCAAAATGTTGAGGTCTGCCCATCACGAGTTTGCACCTCAATGTTGTCTGGGTTCCATAATTTACAGTAATACAAAATGCTCTGGTCCTCTGACTGCTCACAGAATCCTGACTGGCTGATGAGAAGCTTGAAATATCATTAGACTACATGAAATGTGCTGCAGAATATTGGATAATCCTGCATCATTACGAATGTGCTGCTGTCCTGTGAGATAAGGTGGTGAGGCTGTCTAACGTTTTGTACTATGGCAGAGCTAGTCAGTAGAAAGGAGTAATAATAGAGCTGAGAAGTAGCAGGTGTGAAGAACGGCTTTTTCTAAAACACAGTTCTGGAGACGCAATTGCCAATTCTTCTATGTTTTCACATTAAAATTCTGAGATGGGATGAAGGGCTCATGCTACAGCTCTTCCGGCCGTACTAGGATTGTGGAATAAAGAAGAAACCCATCACTGTAAATTGCACAGCAAACTAAATGGGATGGTATCTTATTTTAAAGTCAGAATATCATCTTGCACAGATAGTGTATATGTTTAGGATGTTGTGAGTCCAACTTGTTAGATGTGAATGACAGACGAAGGAGCACTAGCTCTGCTGTTCATTACATCCACTACATATTTATGGAGAAGACCTTTGTCTATGCCAGGGATTTTCCCTGGTTAGATGATCCATCGGAGCAGCTCACTAGTGTAGCTGTCCTGAGTCAAACCCCTAGTGTAGCCAGACAAAGCTGCAATTGGTCAGGACACACAGGTGAATGAGAACAGGCACAGAGGTGGATTTAATGTCTGAACACAACTCCGGTGTCATCTGCCCCATTTCCCCCGACTCATGTGTACCAGACATTTAAATGGGTCAAATGCGAGAGTTACAGGGCTCCCACCATAAAGAACATAATTCAGAGTAGACTAACCTCAGCCTATCCCTAGGATTCAGCTCACTCTGGTGTATCTTCTCACCCTCCCCACTCTAATGGGGACAGATCGTACCAAAAGAGGGACCTCAGTCTGCAAAGACTTCAGGTCTCCTCTTCTCCCAGAAGCACAAGTCCACCAGAGAAATCCCAGTTCTCTTACTTCAGGGAACTGGCCATTTTGGCCTTTTTATCCACACTGGACACCGCCACAAGTTATGACAAACTAAACATTCACACAAGCTACTAATATTTATTTCTAAGTCTTACTGCCATTTAACATAACTGTCTCCATGGGGCTGTAAGGAAGGTGGAAAAACCCAGCAGGCCCCTCTCCATTTTGCACCAATGGGAAAAGTTCCTTCCTAACATCCCGAAAGAGGCAATTGGTTAGACCCACAAATCCTAAAATACACAGCTTGTATCCTAAAACTACAGAGGAGTAGGATAGCTAAAATGGAGTGAGAAGCTCCAAAAGACCTGGGCAAAGGTTTAAAATAATGGGGTGGGGAGAAGAAAGGGGCCAATCACCTCCCATCTCCCTCTGGCTGGCCAATGGGAGGCAGAGAAATCCTGGAGGAGAAAGGGCCCACCTTTTGTGTTCTGGTATGTGTTCCCTCCCCACGCCCTTTCCCCATGGCTGTCTGCCCCAGCAGGTCCTATAAAGTTTCCTACCTGTTGAGTCAGGTGGGTGGCATTTGTATCAGTAAAGCTTAGTCCTGTTTGAAACAAGAATAGGCTGCAGTGGTGAAAATCATTGCTTATCTCAATTTACCCTGCATAGACTGGGGTTTGCTCTGTTGCAACTACACTAGTGGCAAATCCCCACTGTAGACAAAGCCAGATGCTTTTGATCTCAGTGGGACTTCTCATGTGAGCAAAGACTATCAAGATGAATATGGGTTGTGGGATCTTTTGGACAAGGACACTGGCTGAAATCCACTGACTTCAATGGGGCCAGGATTTCATCTACTTTCTTTTATTTCTTCGCAAAACGCTATGTACATCAGTAGTATTTTGTAAATAATCATCGTCTAGCTGTTTTCAGACCATCATGTTTTATTTGTGTGGGATGAATAACAATACATTTCACTCAATATTATATCCTGCAGATTACCAAGATCACTCTGAAGTTAACTTGCAGTTGGATGAAGGAGGAGTATCAGTGAAAACAGATGTGAGTTTGGAAAGTGAGGTAGTTTCTGAAACGTTGGAAACTATAAGACCATCAGTATTGGTGCTACCAGAAAGGATATCATGTGAGGTAAGACCTTTCAATGCTAAAAAGTTAGACATAAATATCACTCCTCTGCCCTGCCCCTGCTACAAGCTCCTTCATCGCACGTCAGTTCTGGGGGGCAGATCACTACTATGGAGCACAAATGAGAGTTTACCTGCAGTGGGAGTGATGCTGCCTGTGTGTCACATTCAATACAAACATCTACAAACTAATATGGATTTGGGACAATCACTGCAGGATTTTACTTCAATTAAAAATTGTTTGGCAGATTGGGTCAGATATAATTCTGCTTCAACATGTTTCATTGCAATGTAAAGGAAAACTGTAGTGAGGAACTTTTTCAAAAGTTATGAATTGCTTCTCAGTAAAAATCAGGTTTGGGGTGGTGTGTGTGTGTGTGTGTGAGAGAGAGAGAGTGAGTGTATGCAAACATATGAATGCTCATTTTTAAAAATCAACACTGTATGTGAGAAAACACAAAAGCATGAAAACTGTGTAAAGAGTGCAACATCTGAAGCCCAACTCTGTACCCCTTAGACAAGTGAGTGGCCACAGTCATGTGAGGGCTGAAGAATCAGGCTAATAATGGCATGGCAAAGAAGTGGAAGGAATGTCGCACAGTTTTGGCTGCTATGTTACAAATAGGCTATTCCATGCCACTGAGTAGCAGGTTACAGCTGAAAATCAGATGAAAGATATGCAGATAGAACATATTTAGCTTAAAACTTTTAATATTTTGGAAAACTCTTTCAGTAATCAACACTGATTAAACCAATAGGGCTCTACATAAATTACACTAAAATCTATAGAACTGAATAAAGAATTACAGTTAGTATGCTTTAAAATGTGTACTTCTGAGAAATACTGTTTTTCCTCACTGGAAAACCCCATTATGAAGATCGAGAGTATTATTCTAAACAGTAGAAACTTGCAATAGAATTTTAACTAACACATTGAATTTAATAATGATCATCCCTTCTATAGAATTCTCTAGGTTAGTTCAGATTTTTTTTTTTGGGAAGAGTTTTTCATTGTCTGTTAAGTTCTATAGGACCTTTCCATAATATAAATTAGGAAATTATTATTTTGGGAAGGAGGGTATGTTAGAAAGTATAAAACTGCTTCTCTAAACAGTGAAACATATATATTCCCTTTTGACTTTTGGGAAATCCTTCTGGTTAAAAAGTTAAGAAAAACAAGGGCCTAGATTATCCCCCTGCCCCCCCAGATTGTTGTTCTGAAGGGTCCCTTCATGCACGGATCACCCCATCACATTCAGAAGTGATATAATGGTATACATTTTGTTTTGAAGGATTAATAAAGAGATTAAGGGTGAAATTTAGTTCAGTTTTAGCTGATCTGAAGGGTGGCAAATATACCTCAGTGAATTGTTCATAGTGAATGATTGTTCTGATTCTTGTTCTGTTCTTCAAAGAACATTAGCATGTGTGTATATTTTCCCAGTGAAAATATATAGATTTGCCACAAATCAGTGGGCCAAGTTTAAAGGTGTTGAACAGTGCAACATTACAGACCAGTATGACAGTCGGAGTCAGCATGACTGAGTATAAACTAGTGTCATTTGCATACAAAGAAGGTTGAACAGTGCTTGGAGAACAACTCAGGGGCGGGTGCAGGAAGGCGTAAGATAAAGTAGTCAGCTTGTTTTATCTTGTACCTTCTTGTTAGCTCCTTGCCTTACTATAATTCTGCCTTTAGTATTTAAAATGCACCAGCTTACCCCTAAAACTGAGATGCAGTTTTACACCGCCTCTGAGATGCAGCTTACACCATCTCTAGGTCACCTTTGAATTTGGCCCACCATGTACTGTAGCTCACTAATGTTCTCTATGTTGAAATTCACCCTTGCTCAGAGGTCTGTAGAAGACCATTGTACCACTTAAGTTCCTAACCCATGAATCCAATTCTGAGGGTTTAAGTGTGTCTTAAGTAGTGTAGGGGTCCCCTGAATGAGGGGAATTTCACCCTTTGTGTACTGGAAGTGAATATATGATCTTAGCCTCACAGTGAAAAGAATTTCATTATATATGGTTTTAGTAAACAGAGTTCAAACTATTACAGTAATCCTGTCAATTTTTTTACTTAGAGAAACATAAAGGATAACTTAATGAAATAGCATTACAGGTGTTATATAACAATATTTCAGGATATAAAGCTATTGCAACTTTTCTTGCAACTTACATTAAAGCATCTGATTTACATTTTATGGTTTCAGTATAATTTGGTGAAAGGCTAATGAGAGCATATTTCTAACTTTATAGAACCCTGGTGAAATATTCATTCTTTTGAGAGATGAAATAACTGAAACTGTAGAAATTGAATTCATAACGGACAATCAACGAATTAGGACACAGCCAGCCTTTTGGAATCAGAAGGTCAGATGCATGAAAGCTTTAGGTAAGAGAACATTGCTGTAGCTTTAAATAAATAGAAAATTTTGGTCCTGGACTCTCTTCACTTGTCTTACAATAAGTATTTTCACTTCCCATCAGATTCTAATATTATTTTGTAAGTGTTTCCTGTGTATGGGTTTTGCATACAGAGCATTATTCTTTTTATTAATACACCAACACAAGGGCTTGTGATTTATGGGAAACTGGATTTTATTGGGTTGTTTTTGTGTGGTTAAGTGGCAGGTGGCAGGCTTTAAAATGTCATTGATTAGTCACAGATTAACATTCTTAATAAATTCCTGCTATAAAATGCAAAGCTAATATTCTTATTACTGCATTAGGTTTAACAAGATGTTTTGTCTCTTATTTTATTCAGCGAAGTTGTTTTTTCTTTTTGCCCATATGCCTGTCTATAATTCTTACTGACATCTGAGAACATTTCCTTTCTTTGCAGTGATTTCATATCCATCCCGTTTCTCTATATTACTCAGTCTCCCTTGGTTTCTCTGGGTTTTGTCAATCACTTTATCCATAATATTAGCTATTCTATTTTCTTATTTTGCCTGGAGCACGATAAACAATACAACAACATTTTTCATTGTATGAGCTTCAGAATGCAGAGGGAATGGCCATACCTCCCTCACAGTTATTGGACTAGAGGTGTGATGGAAATAATCAGCTAAGAGTTCAGGATTCAATTTGCTTTTCTGTAGCATGTTGTGTATTCCCAAAGGGTAGTATATAATATTTTATTTTTAAAAACCATGGTAATACCACATCATTTAGGAAGAAAACACTTAAGCTACAGTTTTCAAACTTGGTCGCCTGAAGTTAGGACCTAAAATCCATATTTTGGCATCTTTGTTTTGTTGATGAAAGCTGACTTTTCTCGCCAAAACTGTGTAGTGTAGACAAGGCTTAAGTTGCTTAATTTTTTGGGGATGCTAAGCACTAGCAAATCCCATTGTTCCCTCTTAGGCATATGTGATCTGTGGGTGACAGAAGTGTACATCAGCTTCTCTTCACTCCCATAGGAGCAGCAGCTCTTTCTTGTATTAGTGTTCTCAGATCATCTCCCGTGGGAGGCTGCATCTCTCTTTGCAGGGAAGAAGTTGATCACAATCACTGACCTCATTCCTCTTCCCTTAAAGGAGGCACCATTGGCTCCCTCTCATTGGGGATCATAGGTGGCTTTGACAGTAATAGTTGTATTTAACATTTCTGTGGTGCATTCAAAGGGCTATATGGACACTAATTGATCCTTATGACACCATTGTGAGGTTAGATGAGTAGTATTATCCCCATGTTACAGATGGGGAACTGAGGCAAGGAAGTTGTGATTTGACCAGGAAAACAGGCAAGTCAGTGACAGCTGGGTTTAGAACAAGAGCTCCTGGGGTCCACCTCTCTATGAAGTCCATTCAAGTATGGAGGCACTCAAAGGTGAGGTTGCAAGTTGCCTGATTATCCATATACTTGAGAGTTATTCATTACCAGGATGGCTCAATGAGGAGGTAGGTGGTGATCTGAAATGTCTATGGTTGGCCAGAGGAAGATCTTGGTGATGAGGCATCTTTCAGAAAAGACAAACTGAAATTCCCATTGACTGTATTGTGGGGGCTCTTCCAGGCATATCTTCTGGGGAAATTATTGGGCCAGGGCAGATAGCCATAAGGGGTATAGATTAATAAACACAAAATACAAAGCATAAGTAATAAGTTTAGTTTCTTTTTGTCCCAAACCAAGGTTAGTTTTTTGTTCCATTGGAGCTTTTAAATAAAAAGTGTTTGGCATTCCAACAGAAACACTGGTTTTCCCCATCATTGTTCAATTTAGCTTCTTTGTTATTTGTCCCCCCCCTCTTTCCCCCGGCAAAAACCTAGAATAACTAAAGTACACGAATGCCCATTTGGGCCAAGGATCCAGCTGACTTCATTTTAACAAAGGAAAGTAAAATGAGTTTGTGCTTGTTATCATTTAAGTGAATTGAGATACTGATTTCTATTAATCTGAGTTTCTTTGACTCTCCATTTCTTCTCTGTCTTCAAGTTTGTCCATTTTTAATTCTTTTGTGAGGAGAGCTAGAATTTTAGTTCTGTCGCTGGTAGGTACAGCAGGATTCACGGCACAATGAATACTAATGAATTATAAAACATACTCATAAAGAGGGCTCATGCTGCATACACGGAGCAAGTTGTTCTAAAGTAACAGACTATACAAATACCTCCTTCCTCAGCTTTCAGTAGATAAACAACTGGAATGGAAGTAATTAAACTGCAATTTCTACAAAACTCAATTCTGAGAGGCTTGTCTGCAATTAAGAAAAATGTTTCAAAAGATGAATAGTAAACCTGTAACTTGTAATAAATGACTGAACTTTTACTTAATCTGTAGGCAGAAGGCAGCTGATTATAGAGTATCAATCCATCAAAGGGAAGGTTGAAATGTGAAGCATTCTGTTTTCATCTAGCTTCTAATTTGAAACAATACATAGCTATATTTTATAAGAATTTACAGATATGTATTTTTGTTGCATTTTTGTGTTAAACTGAAGGACTTGGTTTAAAAAGTATTGCATTGAAACATCTGTGAAATGAAAATTATTTGTTACTTTTTATGTGTTGTTTGTGATATTTCTCTGTTCTTTTACTTACTACCTGAGACATCCAGTCTGGCATTATAAAATATTTTCAGCTGCCGTTTTTGTTTGTGTTTTATAAGATTTTCCGGCTGGCCCTGTAAATGTAAATGTCTACTGTGGGGGAGTCAATAAGGCCGTGACACAGATTGAATACTACACAGCAGTAGAGGAGATTGAACGCATATTTAAAAAAGTGGCTGATCCAATAGCTTTTGCTTGTCAGGTAAGTTAACATCTCCATTAAGTTAATAAAAAAGCATAAAAGTGCCAGTATGAGATAGAACGTATACTGTGCTATAAAGGCTATTTTCATAGAATAATAACGAGCTATGGATCAACAAGAGTGGAAAGAAGCCAGTCTTTGAGATGTCTAGTTGTAAACAAATCAGACAAGTGAAAACAAATCTCGATTGCGCTATTATTAGTTGTGTTGTTATTTGTTATTTATTGTTTACACAATGACATAAATTTGAATGATTCTCTACAGTCATAGACTAATGTCCCTGCCTCATAGATGAAAATAATAATAATTAATTTCTATCAATCGCAAAAAAGAAACTGTTGAGTCTATTCTGAAACCCAGGGAAAACGTCCTTAAATCACACAAGTGGTTGGGGAGGGAGAGTTTTGGATCACAGTATATCCATTCAGCAGTAAATCCCTTCTTTTGGGTTGGTACTGAAAGCATATGTATGGAAAATATTAGCTTACTATGCATATATAGACTGTACACAGCTATTCAGTTATAACTCATGAGGTCTGCTGGTTGCCATGCAGATATTCAGGCTTTGAAGCTGGACTTCATATTCAGCACTGCAGTATAAAGCCTCTGCAGCATGAAGTCTCCTTTTCCAGCAACATGTAAAAAACAACAGGAAGAGAAAGCAGTCTTTAGAATGGACAGAAACTGAATTATCACTTGTACAAGGATTGGTAGTTTGAGCATATTTGACACGTCTATATTGTAATGACAAAGAAAGAACAACAATAAAAAAGTCTGTGTGTAACATAGACAAGTCTCATTTTCCTGTGACAAATATACCTTATCTACCACCTAAGGCATTACACTCATAACAAAAGGATTAATAAAAAATGATATATTTCATTATTAATATTCTGTTTAAACACAGTGGTAGATTCCTTCCAAATACAATTCACTTTTGTTCCTGGAAAATAAAATAAAATGAAGTGTAGCTTATCCAGTCAGTGCACCTCCTAAAGTCTTTACAATATCTGATCATTCTTAAATCTCTAGATTAAAGGCCATCTAAAATGACCTTGATCTGGATTTAACAAAATTTTCTGTTGAAAGGTTATGGTGTGAGACTGAGTTTTAAAAAAATAGTGAGGTAGCAATACCATGTCTGTCTTAAATGTCTATAGGTTATTAGATTCTTTTGTTCATTAGGTTGGCCCCTCATCTCAACAATGTGACTAAAATTCAGTAAGTAAGACATATACAATTTTAAATAATATTCAAGTACAAATTGCAAATTTTTCCCATGCAGAACAGTATGTGCACTAGGAAATACAGTACTAGTGTTTTGAATGCCAGACATATTTTAATGATCTCCTAACCTTTACTCACCTGAATAATAAATGGGGGTATAAATTTGGAGCTACTGTAGGTCTGGCTATTTAGTTTTATTTGCTCTGGGTTAGTATAGGAAACATAAGTCACTGCCAAGAGACTTTTTCATTATCAATTAGGTGGTCCTATCCACACAGCATGATGGCTGTTCTGTGGGAAAGAATGGTAATGGGAAATCCATTTTGTGTTGTTATTTTTAATGATGAACACCAAGCCATAAAGCAATGTAACTGCACTAGCTAAGCTATTTCACACAATTTTCAAACTCCTTTAATCTCTTATTTTAGCAGCAGAGCAATAGCCTTGTTATACTTAAGGTTAAGATGAGCTTTCTGTTTAAAGCTTGACTCTTGAGTTTTGATATGCCTAATGGGAGTGTGGGTTCTGTTAGCGGTCCAAATTTGAGGACATTTGAACAAGGGGTTCCTGAGATAAAGCCCCTGGAAAATAAAAACAGCTTTTCTTAAAGTTCAGAGATTCTGACAGCCTTTTTAGCTCACACATAAAGGTCAATCCAGGGCTCAGACTATTGGACCAGGGTCTCAAATGCTCAAGGTTATCCCAACAGAGTTCATGGCACCAACCAGCCTTTTGTGGGAAATCAGATGAAACCATTATTTGAAAAAGATGTTGCTTCTGCAGTTAGGCTTCCTGCAAGCCGCGTGTGCTTATTTTCACTCCTAATAGAGGATATGTGCAAACAGAGGCATTAACAGGATTGTTAGCCAACAACGTTTTATGCCAGTTGGTTAGCTCAAGGGGAAAAGTAGTGGTTCTTTGAATCTGACCCACCACCTAGAGTCAGTTTGAGCCCTACCTGGGGCAGAAATCTGGAAAAAGGGGAGGGGCTTATTACTAAAATCTGTCTGTCAGGATTTTTTAAAAATGATTATGATTTTTTAAAGTGAATGCTCGCTGGCAGGGAAGAGGTATCTGAAGGTGTGGAGGAGTGGGGAAAATAGGAATGAAACGAGTTTGGGGCTGCAGCAAGGGGAGGGGGATAAAGGGGGATGGGAGGTAGTGGAGGTGAGAGGGTTTGGGGGACTTAGGTGGTGGAGAGGGACACTGGGAAAGAGATAGATGGGAGTTGCAGGAAACCAGGCGGAGAAGCCCAGGAGCACCCATCAGCCTCATATTTTCCCTTTCTCTGTATGGCAGGATCTGGGGATCTGAGCTTCCTTCTCTCCCCACCCCCATCTCAACTTGTAGTCCCTTCCCCCTGTTGGTGTCTGAGCCAGAGTCCCTGTCCAAAGTGTGTGACAGGATGTGGGGGACCCCGCCCTTCTGTGGAGGGAGCTTAGAACAGGTATGCTTGCAGCATGCACCAAGAACAAGTGGCTGATATTGGAATAGGATCTGTGAAGGGGTATGCTTGACACACATCAGAAATTCTCCTCCTGCCCTGGGGAGAGGGGAAGGGAACACCTGCTGATATGAATAGATCAGTTCACACATTTCAGGGATATTGTTTTGGGCTGTATTCATCCACATTGAGTAGCCTTTCATCTGAGAACATCTCATCGAGATGAATGGGCTACTGCTCATCTCTTTGAGCATGCAACTTTTAAGAAATCTGGGCAGAAATCTGAGAATGAACTATAAGCATTTGGGGAAAATCTGCCTTTGACAAGGTTTTTTTAGTTAACCCCGCTCCCCCCCCAAAGAAACCATCATCTGAGTATAACAGAATATTCAGAAGGTGCTGAAACTATTTTTGAAAAGAAATTGCACATGTGAATTCTCATTGGAGGGGAGGAATGAAGAGGGGTTTGTATCTGCAGTGAGGGATGGGTGTATTATGGGGCCTTAAATGGAAATGGATATTAGGGGAGAGAAGAGGGGTTGGGAGGTTCAGGGGAGGGGGGAGGAGAATATGAGGGGTAGCAGAGGAAGTTGGAGGTTTATGACTGGTGGGGAGACTACTGCCAGTTCTGAATTCTCCCCTCTGCAGGGGTCTGAGCCCCTCTCCCTGCCTATTATGTGTTCTGAGATGTGGGGGATCCGGCTTCTCTTGGGGTGTCTAAGCCCCTCCATATGAGCTGCGATCTGGAGTGGGGGGACTGAAATTTACATATCTGAAATCCAGAAAATGAATAGGTAAGATACACATCACCCCACTGGGGATTGGTCTTGGGATCTGGCCAGTGTGTGGGAGAGGGGCAGACTGGATGGACCTGGGGCATGGCTGGGGAAGCAAGCTGAAGCAGGGACAGGATTCCCAGCTGAGGGTGGGTAGCAGGAGTGAGGAGCCCAGCCCCGTGTGCATCTCAGATCATGTAACCAAGGTAGCCTGTAGCTTTGAAGTAAACTGCTACCTGTGATATGTACACTCAGTAGGGTTGCCAACTCTCCCGGATTGGTGGGAGTCTACCGGAATCGGCATTGATCTCCTGGTGAGTACTGTAAGCAATCTGAGAGATTTTAATAGGCTGCTAAAAGTCGGTCAGTGGCGCAGCGGGGCTAAGGCAGGGTCCCTGACTGCCCTGGCTCCGCACGACTCCGGAAGTGGCTGGCATGTCCGGTTCCTAGGCATAGGGTCAGCCAGGGGGTCTCCATGCACTGCCCCCACCCCGAGCGCTGGCTCCGCAGCCCTCATTGTCCAGGAACTATGGCCAGTGGGAACTGCTGGGTGGTGCCTGCAGGCATAGGCAGTGCGCAGAGCCCTCTGTCCCCTCCACCTAGGAGCTGGACATGCCAGCCACTCCTGGGAGCCACAGGGAGCCTGCCTTAGTCCCTCTGCACCACTGACAGGGAGCTGCCTGAGGTAAGCGCCGCCCAGTCGGAGCTCACACCCTGAATGCCTCCCGCGCCCCAACCCCCTGCCCCAGCCCTGAGCCCCTTCCCATACCCAAACTCCCTCCCAGAGCCTGTACCTCCTCCCGCACTCCTTCACCCCAAATCCCTCATCTCTGGCCCCACCCCAGAGCCTGCACCCCCAGCCAGAGCCCTCACCCCCCCACACTCCCAACCCTCTGCCCCAGCCCAGTGAAAATGAGCAAGAGTGGGGGAGAATGAGTGACGGAGGGAGGGGGATGGAGTGAGTGGGAATGGGGCTTCAGAGAAGGGGCGGGGCAGGGCAAGGGTGTTTGGTTTTGTGCAATTAGAAAGTTGGCAACCCTAACACACAGCAGCATAGGGCAGGAGACAGCAAGGAGCAACTTTTTTACATGTTAATGGTTTCTGCAGTGACAACTAATGACTCAATGAGCTGGGAAGGGGAGAGAGAACTGGAAATGTTGGCAGGGGAGCTACATGTTGCAGGAAGTGGTGTGGCAGAGGATGGAGAAGAGAGACACACCAGGATTCTCTCACACCCTTAAAGTTATTGTAACAACCATGTAATAAAATTGACAAGGTTTTGAGACATAGACCAGAGATTTCTCTCACTGGTTCTCTTAGCAACTACACATTGTAAGCATTTCAAAACCTGACCATTATTCCCATTTCACTGGAACAAAATGTCCATGGGGGGCAGGAGCACTAAGGAATCCCATAGCAACCATGTGGCCTAATGGAAAGACTACTGGACTGAAACTATTTGTAGTTCTGTGCCTCAGTTTCCCATCTGTAAAATGGGGATAATGTATAAGGCTGAAAAGCACTATATAAGACTAGGTTTTTTTTTATTATCT